CTAGCAGACCATGGTATTCTCAACACTCTTCTCCAGCACCACAGCTCAAAGGCATCAATTCTCCTTCTATCCTCCTTGGTCATTGTCCAACTCTCTGATGCATAAAAAGTGATTGCAAAGACCATGGCCTGTATCAGACGCACCTTAGTCTCCAGAGAGGTACCATTGCTCATACATATCATAAAACATTATGACAATATGCAAAGACTGAATGTTTTGTTTGTATAAATAATATTTCTAAGAAGAAATTAAAAAATAGAGCAAGACTATGTGCTTTTATGTGAGCCTCTACATTGCAAAAAGAATCAAGCTGACAATTCTTTTTAAAATATTCTAACTTCACTTTATCAGCATACCTTTTAGGCATAAAATTATATATGTCCTGTTTTAATGCTAGGGAAAGGAATATTTTTTCTTGTTTATTTTATATCCTTTTCATTTGTTTGACAGGGACTACAATGCAATTTCAAGCTTAAGTGAATGAACTCTGTTAGTTATCATTGACAGCTAGTACAAGCCTATGTTTTTGGAATCTCAAGGGAGTAAGAATTTTTTTCCCCCCACCAACCCAGATTCCAGCCTGAAGAACTGTGACCATAGGCAGGCATGCTGTTGCTTTCTAGTGCCAGTGATTCAAAGCATATTTCTCTGTTACATTCTTTACTGAGTATAAAGCCTTTCAAAGACGTGGGGGTCTCCATTCCTATCCTCCTCTTCATATGACCTTGATTGCGTTCCCTGCTTGGTTATTAAACTATTTGGCTATCAAGGCAGTAAATTCTCAAGGGCAAGAACATTTTGTTCAGCTCTCAATTTTTAGTTTGTTTCTTGTTTTTTTTGAGTGTGGATATTTCTTTTTGGACTAACAATGAATTTGATGCTTATATACTGTAATTTCAGTTGTCTTTTATTAACAAATTCTGTGCTGAATGAGAAAGAAACGATTTTATCTGTCTAATAGAAAATGTTCAATTACTATTGGTATGCCAGATTTTAGGGGTATATTCACTGTAATGTTTGCATATTTTTAAAAATGCTTTTCTTACTAATAATAACATTAATTATATCTATCTATTATCTATCTATCTATCTATCTATCTATCTATCTATCTATCTATCTATCTATCATCTTTGCTTAATTCTTAAATGAAAACCAAACAAACCAAACCACCAACAGGTGATGGATATCTTTTCTAATGGTTAAAGAAGATTCATTTCCATTACAGCTTTCTTTTTTAATAGAAACTCTTGGTAAATTTTTGTTAAAGTTACAAAGTTCTCTAAGCTTGTTATTACTACAATATTTGTTTTCCAGATACTTTTGGGTAAAATACAATTGTATCTTATATTTGACTTAGCGTTTCATTTAGAGTCTAAACTCAAGATAAAATCGCAAAGTGTTCACACTTGTCTACATGTAGTAGAAAGTTTAATTATAAAAAAATTTCTATATAAT